CAGGCAGAAGGAAAGGAAGGAAGGAAGGAAGAGTATCCAGATTGGAAAGGAAAATGACCTTTCTTCACAGATGATGTGATCCAGTTCAAAAGGTTGTAGGACACCAGATCAATGTACAAAAAATTAATTCTATTTCTATATTATGGAAACAATACAAAAAGTAATTAAATTCATAGCACCATTAATTTCACAAAAGAAGTGCAAGAGTTACACATTGAGAACTACAGAAATTGCTGAGGAAAACAAGACGTAAATAACAGCAGAGACATTACATGTTCATAAATTGGCAACCCCAAAATTGTTAAGTTGGCAGTTTTTCCCAAATCAATCTATAGATTCAATAAAATCCCCACCAGGCATGGTGGTTCACACCTGTAATCCCAGCACTTTGGGAGGCTGAGACGGGCGGATCACAAGGTCAGGAGATCAACACCATCCTGGCTAACACGGTGAAACCCCGTCTCTACCAAAAAAAAAAAAAAAAACTAGCCAGGTGTGGTGGCGGGTGCATGTAGTCCCAGCTACTTGGGAGGCTGAGGCAGGAGAATGGCATGAACCCGGGAGGCTGAGCTTGCAGTGAGCCAAGATCACGCCACTGCACTCCAGCCTGGGTGACAGAGCGAGACTCCATCTCAAAATAAATAAATAAAACCCCGATGAAATTCCTATAGAATTTTTTACAGAAATTGGCAAGCTGATCTTAAAATATATGTGGAAATGCAAAGGACCCAAAGTAGTCAAAGCAATTTTGAAAAAGAACAAAGTTAAAGGACTTAAAAAATCCAACTAACTAACTATAATTAAAGTCATCAAGACAATGTGTTGCTGGTATATGGAGAGGCATATAAGTTAATGGGACATAGTTTAGAACTCAGATATAAACTCTTACATTTATGATCAATTCTTGACAAAGGTACTAAGTCAATTCAATGGGGGAATAGCTAGTCTTTGCAAGAAATGATGTGAGGACAACTGGATATCCATATGCAAAAAGATTAATTTAGACCCTTACCATGGACCTCAAAAAAAATGGTTCACAGATCTAAATGTGCGAGTTAAGAGTAAGAGAAAGGATATGAAATGATCTTTGTAACTTTAAGCAGAGTCCTTAGCTATAACACCAAAAGCATGATTGCTAAAAGAAAAAACATAAATTGGAATTTATCAAAATTAAGAGCTTTTATACTTCAAAAGCTTTTTCTTACACCACTAAGAAAAAAAGACAAGCCACAAATATGGAGAAAATATTTGCAAATCATATTTCCCATTAAGTACTTGTATCCAGAATATATAACAACTCAACAATAAAAAGACAACTTGATTTTAAAATGGATAAATGATACAAACAGAGGGCCAGGCACGGTGGCTCATAATTGTAATCCCAGCACTTCAGGAAGCCAAGGTGGAAGGATTGCCTGAGCCCAAAGGGTTCAAGATCAGTCTGGGTAACATAGTGAGACCCTGTCTCAATTTGAAAAAAGAGACTAATTCAAAAAGATACAAATATAGATTACATCAAAGAAGCTTTATTAATTCCTAATAAGCACACTAAAAGATACCTAACATCATCAGTCATTATAAAATGCAAATTAAAATCATGAGATACACACTAGAATGGCTATAATCAAAAGGACTGATAAAAAGTGTTTGTATGAATGTGGAGAAACTAGAACCCTCATGCGTTGCTGGTAGGGATGTTAAGATTGTGCAACTACACTGTAAAAACTGCTTTTCTTACAATGTAATTTCTTAAAATCATAAATATAAACCTACCTATATGACAGCAATTCCACTCCTAGGTTCTACCCAAGAGAAATGAAAACATATTTTCACATAATGATTTGTATGCAAATGTTCATAGGAGCAAATTTATAATAGCCCCAAGCAAGAAATAATAGTAATTCCAAAAAGTGGTGAATGGATAAATATGGTACATCAATTCAATGGAATAATATTCAGCAATAAAAAAGGAACATACTGCTGATATATTCAGGAACATGGATGACCCTCAGAAACTTTATGCTCAGTAAAAGAAGCCAGACACAAAAATTTACATAACTATATGGTTCCAATTACCTGAAATATTCAGACAAGGCAAATCTATCAAGACAAAAAGCAGATCAGTGGTTATGTGGGACTAAGAATGGAGGAGAGATTGACTGTAAACTAGCATGAGAATACTTTTTGTGGGGATGGAAATGTTCTAAAACTGGATTGTGATGATGGTGTTATAACTATAAATTTACTAAAAACTATTTATATATACTTATAATGAGTGAATTTTATGGTATGTAAATTATATCTCAAGGTGTAAAAATGTGAAAAAATTAAATTATGGGTGGGTTTCAATTATTATAGTATGAATAGGAAATTTAAAGCCATTTTAGAGTAGCCATATCTAAGATAATAGGAACATGATTTTTTAAAAAGCTAGAACAATACAAGCGATTTCAGCAAATTTATAAGAGATGGGGGCTAGTAAATAGATTGTATACTACTATATTATAAAATTGTCTATAATATTGCATTTTTTTTGAGACGGAGTCGTGCTCTGTCACCCAGGCTGGAGTGCAGTGGCATGATCTCGGCTCACTGCAAGCTCCGCTGCCTCCCGAGTTCACGCCATTCTCCTGCCTCAGACTCCCTAGAAGCTGGGACTACAGGCGCCTGCCACCACACCCGGCTAATTTTTTTGTATTTTTAGTAGAGATGGGGTTTCACCGTGTTCTCCAGGATGGTCTCGATCTCCTGACCTTGTGATCCGCCCGCCTCAGCCTCCCAAAGTGCTGGGATTACAGGTGTGAGCTACTGTGCCTGGCCCTGCAAAATCTTTAAAAACCCTTCCTTGTGGCCAGGCGTGGTAGCTCACACCTGTAATCCCAGTTCTTTGGGAGGCCGAGGTGGGTGGATCACTTGAGGTCAGGAGTTCGAGACCAACCTGGGCAACATGGCGAAACCCCATCTCTACTAAAAATACAAAAATTAGCCAGGCATGGTGGTGTGTGCCTGTAATCCCAGCTACTCAGGAGGCTGAGGCAGGAGAATCGCTTGAGCCTGGGAGGCAGGTACTGCAGTGAGCTGAGATCATGCCACTACACTCCAGCCTGGGCAACAGAGCAAGACCATCTCAAAAATAAATATAAATTTAAAATGCTTCCATATTATGTGGCATTAACAAAATTATATTAACCCATGAAATGAATATATATTCTTGCACATATCTTAAGGGCACTGAGAGGTAGGATAAGGAAGACTGCAAATACTCTCAACGTTGTTTGACTTTTTTTGTTTGTTTGTTTGAGACAGGGTCTCATTCTGTCGCTCTGAGTGCTGGAATGCAGTGGTGCGATCTCAGCTCACTGCAACCTTACCTCCCAGGTTCAAGTGATTCTCCTGCTTCAGCCTTCCAAGTAGCTGAGATTACAGGTGCACACCACCACATCCAGCTAATTTTTGTATTTTTAGTAGAGACAGGGGTTTTGCCATGTTGGCCAGGCTGGTCTTGAACTCCTGGCCTCAAGGGATCTGACTGCCTCAACCTCCCAAAATGCTGGGATTACAGGCATGAGGCACTGTGCCCCGCATTGAGACAGGGTCTCACTCTGCCATCCAGGCTGGAATGTAATGGCGTGATCTCGGCTCACTGCAACCTGTGCTTCCCAGGCTCAAGCCTCAGCCTCCTGAGTAGCTAGGACTACAGATACATGCCACCATGCCCAGCTAATTTTTTGTAGGGATGGTTTCGCCATGTTGCCCAGGCTGGTCTCAAACTCCTGAGCTTAAGCAACCTGCGCACCTTGGCCTCCCACAGTTCTATGATATATATATATTTATTAAACAAGAGAAATAAAAATGAATGAAATAGCCAACTCGAGAAGACAGAAAAAAGGAGAAAGGTGTATGTTTTAAAGTATCATAAAAATAAAAGCTCAAGTTAATGAATTAGAAAAACAGAAAAAGCAGAATTGATAAATCCAAGAACTGGTTCTTTTGAAAAAGCTAAAAACCTGAACACTAATGGAAAAAACAGCCAGGCACAGTGACTCACACCTGTAATCCCAACACTTTGGGAGGCCGAGGCAGGAGAATCCCTTGAGCCTAGGAGCTGGAGACCAGCCTGGGCAACATAGCAAGACCCAATCTCTTAAAAAGGTTAAAAAAAAAAAAAAAACCAGGTGTGGTGGTACATGCCTGCCTACTCAGGAGGCCGAGGTGGGAGGACTGCTTGAGCCCAGGAGTTGGAGGCTGCAGTGACCCGTGATCAAGTCATAGTACTCTAGCCTGAGCAACGTAGTGAGACCCCAATTCAAACAAAATAGAAGAAGTCTGTTCTTTGGTTTTCATAAAGAATGCACACATATAAAACTTACAAGCTTCTAGGAGACTTTTGTTTTTAAACTAGAGAATTGCGGGGGATGGTAGGGCCTTCACAGAGACCACAGGCAGACAACTCCAAGTCATACCATAGATATTTGTGTTTTCATGTCTTTTTGGTTGGCATGGGGTGAGCGAGGTTCTCCTTGCCCATTCAGGCCACATAGCACCAGCCTTCTACCCTCTCACCAGCTTCTCAGTCTCCCATTCTCTCCCTCTGTCATGCAGATCAGTTTATGTCCCATGTTGCTTGGACATCTTACGACACTTATGCCCTGAGCAACCTAAGCAACATGTTACACACACACACACACACACACACACGCCACAGTTCTTTCTCTATAATGAACTCTGGGGGCCATGGTAAAGGTAATACACCTAATAGCATTCCTTCTCACCTTTCAGGAAGGACAAGGTTATCTAGGACTGGGAGTGAAGGTTTCTGACATGGCTCAGCCCCACCTCCTGCACTTCTTGCCCATCCAGTGGGGTAACCCAGGCCAGGAGCGCAGGCACAGACCAGAGGCAAATGTCCCACTCAGGAATATGCCCTGTGCCTCTCAGCAGGCGCCTAGACTGCCCAGGTGAGGCCTGGGAGCTCCAAGTTGGAGAGGAAGGCGGCCCACCTGGATGAAACTGTGCTTTTTGTCTTTGTTCTTCAGTAGCATGGCGCTCCGCCACTGCAGGTACTTCTCCTGGTGGGCGTGGATCTCTAAGGTGAGGCTGGAGTCCCGACCGTGGTAGTCCTCAAGATTGGGGGCGGGCTGAGGTGGTAGGGCGAACAGTTTCTCATCTGTGAGTTCTTCTTGCGAAAGGGGCATCCCAAACTCTTGGCTCAAGTCTTTGATCATAGCAGAGGAGGGCAGCAGGTTCCTCACCATCACGTCCCAGAGGGTGGTGCTGTTATAGCAGATGTCGTGGATCCTGGAACAAAGAACCACTGCCCCACTGAACCTCGCCTACCTTGCAAGACAGGTGTAATCACTCCCATCCTACAGCAGGAAATGAACAGTCAGAGGTTGCTTAGCTGGTCCCAGGCCCTGGAGCTTGTAACGAAAGAGCTCCCATTCCAGTCTGCTGAGCCTGGGCTCCTGGCTCCTTCTCCATCTTCTCCCCAGCCCCCAGAAGCCAAAGGCTGCCCGTGGTTTGCTCTGAGTGCTGCTCTGTTCCTGTGTCCTTAGCCATGCTTCCCCTCCTCCCATACCCCATCGGGACACAGCCCTACCAGCTGCCCATCAGGGATGTAGAGCACAGAGCCTTCCGCACCAGGAGGACATCATGCAAGGAGCCTCAGGGGGCTGGCTAATAGAGGAGGAGGAGGAGGCTGGAGAGAGAGTCCTCAGCAAAGCTCAAGGACCTCCCCAGCCCTGAAGCCTCCTCCTAGGTGCCTTCTGCCATGGCCTGGTGTGCAGTGGGCATTGGGTCCAGAACCCATGCTCGGTCATGGCTGTTGGCTGCTGACTGTCTCAGCTGCCTCCGAAGTCCACTGTGCGGTAGATGCCTGCCCTCACTCTCACTGTCGCAGTGACCCTGGCCCAGCCTTAGCCTTTCTGAATATGGTTTCCTCACCCTCAGATAGAAATAAAGCTATATGGATGCAGCTACCTTGGATGCAGTAAGCACTTCCTAAAAAGTGTTCTCTTTTCTTCATAGAACCCTCAGCTACTTCCTGTCACCTACCAGGCAGGACCGGGTCTGGCCTCCTCCCAAATGCTGTGGCACCACCCCACATGCCAAAGATGAGGGCCACGGAATCAAAGAAAAGCCTCTTGGTTCCAACCAAGATCTTTATCCTTCCCATCTCTCCAGCCTCCTCCCCTCCTTCATTAATACATCCAGCGAACACTAGCTAGGGCCAGACCTGTTGCTGGCTCTAAAAATATAAAGACAGGGTTTGTACCTCCTGCCCCACACCCAGAAGCAAGTGAACTGTCCACCTGCTGAACATCCCCTGGCCCTTCCTCAACAGCAGCCTCTCCTGTCCTGGGGAAAGAAGCAGCCCCCTCCTCCATGCCCCTGCTGGGTCCCAGGGCACCCCACTGCCTGAGTTCTTTATGTCCTCTCTCCTTCTGAACTGTGGCCTCCTGAGAGTGGGGACTGGTGTGCTCACAGCTCCCCTAGAGCCATTGTGGGCTAGCAGCTGCTCAATGAGGGAATGGTGAGACCCTGGTTGCCCAGGCTGGAGTGCAGTGGTGTGATCTCAGCTCACTGCAACCTCCGCCTCCCAGGTTCAAGCAATTCTCCTGCCTCAGTCTCCCAAGTAGCTGGGATTACAGGTGTGCACCACTACACCTGGCTAATTTTTGTATTTTTAGTAGAGATGGGGTCTCACTATGTTGCCTAGGCTTGTCTCAAATTCCTGGGCTCAAGCCATCCTCTCACCTCGGCCTCCCAAAGTGCTGGGATTACAGGTGTGAGCCACTGTGCCCAGCCCACACCTGGCTAATTATTAACAACTTTTTTTTTTTTTTTGAGACGGAGTCTTGCTTTGTCGCCCAGGCTGGAGTGCAGTGGCGTGATCTCCACTTACAGTGAGCTCCAATCCCCGAGTTCAGGCCATTCTCCTGCCTCAGCCTCCCTCAATAGTAGCTGGGACTACAGGCACCCGCTGCCACGCCCGGCTAAATTTTTTTTGTATTTTTAGTAGAGATGGGGTTTCACCATGTTCACCAGGATGGTCTCAATCTCCTGACCTCGTGATCCGCCCACCTCGGCCTCCCAATTTTATTAACAAATTTTTGTGGAGAAGAGGTCTCACTCTGTTGCCCAGGTTAGAAAATGGGGTTTAACCAGCCACTCCCTCCTCAGGTGATTCTAGGACACGCCCCAAGAACTGCAGACGCGACAGAGTCACAGCATCTGGGCAGATGCCCTCCTCCCCCCACCGTCTGTTGGGGCCACTATGTAGTTGTTGGACACCCCAGCTCGCCTGTTTGGGCGCAGAGTGCTAAGAAGCGCCCCTTCTGCTGTGGCGCAGGACCCCACGTGGGCTGCCACTGCCCACCTGGTCAGTGCCTGGAAGACCCGCCTCCACTCAGTGTCTCGCAGGAAAAGCACCGCCTGCTGCAGCAGCAGCTCCGTGGGCTGGAAGAGGTGCACATGGTACAGGATGGCCTCCAGGTCCCCATAGAGCCGGCTGCGGAACAGCAGCTGCGAGTTGTACAGCACCTTGTATTTCCCGTGTTCTGACCTGGGAATCCTGCAAGAGACAGAAGGCCAAGGGCCAGAGCTAACTTGCATGGAGGCTTCCTGGGACACCATAGTGAGGGTGCACTGTCAGGTATAGCTTTTATGTTGTTTAAAAACAAGCCGAGGGGCCGGGTGTGGTGACTCGCGCCTGTAATCCCAGCACTTCGGGAGACTGAGGTGGGCAGATCACCTGAGGTCGGGAGTTCGAGACCAGCCTGACCAACATGGAGAAACCCCATCTCTAGTAAAAAATACGAAATTAGCCAGGCATGGTGGTGCATGCCTGTAATCCCAGCTAGTTGGGAGGCTGAAGCGGCAGAATCGCTTGAACCCCGGAGGCAGAGGTTGCAGTGAGCCAAAATCATGACATTGCACTCCAGCCTGGGTAACAAGAGTGAAACTCGGTCTCAAAACAAAAACAAACCAAAACGAAAAAAAAAAAAAAAAGCCCAGGGGGGTAGAGGCTGCAGCGAGCCCTGATGGCACCAGTGCACTCCAGCCTGGGCTGAACAGAGTGAGATCCCATTTCAAAACAATAACAAAAGACAAGGTTGGTAATGAAGACTATAGTAAGATAAAAATAGAGCAATTTAAAAGTATAAAAAATTAACTAAAAGAATAGAAAAAAACAAAAAGAATATGATGATGATGAATGCCTCCTGGTAGACACAACATCTTTCAAAACGTGGGGCCTTGACAGAGAACTGGCAGTGAAATGCTGAAATTGACCTGATCTGGCTCATGGCCTGTGCCTCCCACCCCCTTCCTGCCCCCACTCAGCCCCTCACCACCCCTCCAAGCCCTGCCCTGGCACTCGCACTCTGCACTATGGCAACACCAGCCTGGCAGGGTTTCTATGCACAGCCTACTCTCATTGCCCTGCACTGGCCTATGCCAATCCACTGCCTTTTTGAACCTGGTGAAGTCTACAATGCTTTCATCTCCCCTTCAGGAATCTGTGTTCTTGGTCAGGGGTAGGTCCTCTTTTGTGAAGTATTTGTTTGGGTATTTTGCCCATACTTTCCACTGGGATGTTTTCTTACTGATTCACAGGATTTAAAAAAAATATATTAGGATACTAATTATTGGTCAGTTCCAGACACTGCAAATAATTTTGTTTGTAGCTTGTCTTTTCACCGTATTTACGGTGTCGTGAAAGTTGATCACATACATTGGGTCATTCTCATCACAGCCAACTAAAACAGAGTCGAGAGGCGGGGAGAAAGCACCCAGGGCACGTAGCACTGCTCCAGGAATGTCATTCTCCGCAGCCTGGCTGCTGAGGCCGCCTGCTCCAACCTCAAGCCAGTCTTATCTGATAGCTACTGACACCACCTGCTGCAACTCCAAGACTACTTTTACTCACTGGCACTTGCCAGTCGGAGGTTGCCAGTGCCCCAAAACTTTGTTTTGTGTCAAACACAAAACAAAGTGAATTCTCAAAACAATACCTAACATTTTTATAATGCCCCTCCTTTTTATAAAACCTCCAACCTTCTCTGTTTTTCAGACATACTGAAGACTGCCCAGCCTGTGTGTGTACCTCAAATTGTAATTCTTGCTTCCCAAATAAAATTTTTAAATTTAGAGATTCATCTCTGTATTTTGACTTTGACAGTGTCTTTTGATGAGCAGAAGTTACTTTTAACGTTGCCAAATGTATGATTCTTTTCTTCTTTGTCCTTGTCTGGTTCAAGAACTCTTTCTCCATTCTGGGGTCATGAATATGTTCTTCTACATTTTCATCTATAAGCTTTGTAATTTTGCTTTTCAAAAATAGATTTTTCACTTTGGGAGGTCAAGGTGGGCAGGTTGCTTGAGCCCAGGAGTTGGAGGCCAGCCTGGGCAACCCGGTGAAACCCCATCTCTACAAAAAATACAAAAATAATCTGAGCATGGTGGTATACACCCGTAGTCCCAGCTACCTGGGAGGCTGAGATGGGAGAATGGCTTGACCCCTGGAGGTAGAGGTTGCAGTGAGCCCTTGTACCACTCCACTCGCTGCCTGGGTGACAGAGACAGACCCCTGTCCTCAAAAAAAAAAAAAAACAAAAAAAGCCCAGGCAACGTGGCTAACACCTGTAATCGAATCCAGCACTGTGGGAGGGCTGAGGCGGTGGATCCAATGGGGTCAGAGAATCAGACCACGGTGAACACCCATCTCTACTAAAAATACAAAAAAATAGCTGGGTGTGGGCAGGCCACCTGGTAGTCTCAGCTACTCAGGAGGACTGAGCAGGAAGATGGCGTGAAACCAGGAGGGTCGGAGCTTGCAGTGAGCTGAAGATCATGCCCACGCACTCAGCCCTGCGGCGACCAGAGCGAGATTCTGCCTCTCAAAAAAAAAAAAAAAAAAATTCTGGTTGAAATCTGAGAATCAGATCATTGTAGTCTACTTAGTTATACTGTGTCAATCAGTAGTCATTATATAAGATGTCACCATTGGGGAATTGGGGACCTTGAAGTAATGAAGTACATGCAACCTCTCCACTATTTTTGCAATTTCAAAGTTAAAAGTTTAGGCCAGGTGCAGTGGCTCACACCTGTAATCCCAGCACTTTGGGAAGGCTAAGGCGGGTGGATCACCTGAGGTCAGCGGAGTTCGGAGACCAGCCTTCCCAACATGGCAAACCCATCTCTACTAAAAATACAAAAAATTAGCGGCATGATGGCGGCCATTTTTTTAGGCCGAGGCAGGAGAGTTGCGTTGAACGCAGGAGGCAGAGGTTGCAGTGGAGCCAAGATCGCACCATTGCAACTCCAGCCTGGGGCAACAGAATGAGACTCTGTCTCAAAACAAAAGAAAAAAAATTAGCTGGGCATGGTGGGCACATGCTTGTGGTCCCAGCTACTTGAGATGGCTGAGGGTAGGAGGATCGCTTGAGGCGGGGGGGTCAAGGCTGCAGTGAATCCGTGACCCGCACCACTCCACTCCAGCCTGGGTAAACAATAAACCTGTCCAATAAACC